ATCAGACAGGGCCACTGTGTGATCATTACAACAAGAATAAAGGGACATCACTTCATAATGACACCTGAACAGAGACAAAACATGAACATTTTCAAAACTGCAAACGTAACCCTAATCCAGGTCAATATAAGCAGCTACAGTTTCCTTACTTAGTACTTTGAGCTTCAGACTAGTCTTCTCTTCTAAATAATACTTAAGATACCCTTCACAGAATTAGTCAATTTCCTCATAGTATCCAATCTAAGAGTAAAGCCCCCACTTACTTGAGCCTTCTCTCAACATCACCTAACTTAAACCTAATCCTATATCATCCTATTTCTAAATCCTCTTATTGAAATAGCTTGTGCTTCCTCATGGTGTGCTTCTCTCTTGTTGCAAAAAGTAATAAAAATCCAACTTGATCAACCAGATGTGTTTCTGGTGTCTTTTTCTAAAGAGCACTGTCAGAAAACAGTAAATCATGGAACATCTACTTGATGAAACACTCGACACCCATTAAAAATGAATTTATAATATTAAAATAAAAAGATATCTAAGATAGTAATTTTTTTTTTAAAAAAGGCAGATTATATACAGTGTGAATCTATTTATGCTGAAGCAAATCTTTTGATATGATAGCACAGCGGAGTTCAGTGCAGAAGACATAGGCTGATCTGTTAATATTGTTTACCTTTAGAAAATAAGATGTAGCAGCCACCAGGTGGTAATAAATCAACTTAATGGTAAGGGATTAATAGTAAAATAGATTGGGAATAAAGGAAAATTCTCTTTTGCTTCAAATACACTGCTTTAAAAATTCTTTTACACGTAGCAATTTAGTACAATACACCTAATGTAAAAGATATTATTAATAAGATAAAAATGGAACTTCTTTCTCAAAACAGTTGTTTCAAAATAAAGACTTTTCTAGTAGTCTCTACTACATGTCCCTTAAAGTAGCTAATGCAGTAAGTCAATATTACTAGGAAAAGTAGAAGAATAAGCCTGTTAAATCACTGTTCTTCATTTCACATATAATTACAAAGGTTTTAAGTAATTTTTTTCTAAATACATGGCAGGGTCCAGCTGATGTCATAATAGTTAGGTCACTATACTCCCACCTAGTCGACCACAGTTCGAGTCCCAGACCCGTGGCTTGAAACTCATGAATGCATGTGTGCATGCCCAAAATCCAAAGAGGAGAATGGAAGAAAAGGAACTGAGGCATGCCCATCTCCCCAGGGTATGATTTTTCGCCTTCTGTCTGTCTGGTGAGTGCACATCCCCTATAGCAAAACTCTTTAAGAAAAAACAACAATAACAACAACAGAAAACGGCAGGTACACGTATGCCTAGAGTTCTGATGGGATGAAGAAAAGGAGGACCATAGATTGTGGTAACCAAGATCCCTTTGGGAGAGGAGAAAGTGTTCTCTCTCTCCCTCTCGCCAGTGTATGTGCCCTCAGACAATCAATGAAGAAAAAAAGCTCAGATTCATGCCTAGAGATGAGCATTCTGGCATACAACTGAGCTAGACCAATAAGTAGTTGTAACCTGTCATTTAAAGTACAGCCTCACAATACATGCTTACAAATGGAATCTGGTATCTGTCCTCTGAACCTTGAGTGCAGATTAAACAGATACTATTAGACAATATTCTTTAATAGCAGAAACAAACTAGATTTTCAGGTAAATGGAAAAAAAGGTATATATTTTTGACCAAAGCAAATTCCATAAATACTAAGGAACTGAAGACATTACTTTAAAGTGAGACATAATACCATATAAAATGATGATGATAGAACAAAGAACCAAATTTTAAACACTCTTT